CCCGGGATAGCGGTGTTGGGGTCGAAATCTCCAGCGTAGCCGTAAGTCCATACGACGGTTCAGCACTCGATGTCTGGAAGTATGGTCCTGGTCAATGATTTAATCAATAAAACGAAACAAAAAAACGGTCTCCATCCTATTTCTTCTAAAAAGAGAAACGGAAAATTACTAAAATATCCTGGCCAATCTCAGATAGAGACATACACCTGTTCCAATGCCAGAGGCAATAGGCGAAAAGCGATATGATATAGGTCATTCCAAGATCCAATGATAGCTGAAATGCCCTGTGTTTCAGCTTCTTATTCTTGTCAAGAATATGGACCTTAGTGTTGTGACCGATTCAATGTTCTTTGTATTCAAAGAAACCATTTTCGCGTCGGAATGACCTATCGCCTTTGGCGATGACAACGTTCTTTGAAATAGATGTATACGACCCGGCCCAATATCTCAGTGAAAAATCCCTAAGATATAGCACGTGAGAGGGATTGCAAGATACAACATTAATAATCCTCCGGTTGCGCACTGCGTGGAAATACTGTTACAAGGTGGCAGCATAAAAGCGCCATTTTTCGCATGTTTTGTCGTTAGTTATCGCATGAGGGATTGCATGCGTTAGACAAATAATCAAAGATAACGTCTAGCGAAAATTAGCAACGAATATTAAGCATCCATCCGGGTGAAGTGATGTTGGGAAAACAAAGGGTCGAAATACAAGCCATCTTTTGATTTCTGTGTAAATATGAGGGTGGGAAAGTTCTGAATCCCTCCCTCAGGGCCCTGTCCTATCCATTAAGATTAATGTTCCTTGATTAAAAACTAGATCGCGGAACAAAAAACTTCGGAAAAGCGATGATCGAGAGGCAGGAAGGGTGACACAAATACTCGTATCTATCTCTATTTCTGATACCAATACGTCATTTGGAGGTCTAAATACAAACAAATTGTTAAGATTAAAGGAAAAACGGATTAGAAAGTATAGGAAAATACTGAAGTAAAGAAAAATAGATTTGTATAAAGAAATAGCGATGATGAGGAGTTGGCTTGTTGTCCGAGTTGGTTAGCGATATAAAGCAACATTTTCATGATTCGAGGGTTATCACAAGTGCAATCAATACAAAGCAATACAATATGTACCAAGTCCATGCGCTGATACAAAATTCATACAGGTTTGAACTACCTGTGATCGCGTACACCACAAAATGTCGAGTATTTTTGTTAAATCATGTATTGAACATTAAAGTCTAGAGTACGTTATGATGAATGAAAACAAGCAATCCGTACAAGTATTGAATTTTTAGCAGTAAAATCTCTCCTGCTTGTAGACGGACTTTRATTATATAAGTAAGTTATTCGACAGTTTTGTTTCAAAATTTGACTGGCTACATCTAAAAACATGCCAACTAAACCTAGTATTTGTCCCTAAAAACACCCAAATTTCTCTATTTACGACAATCTATAAACATTTTAAAAGATATATTTGTGGTTCTAAACTTTCTGTTAATCAAGATGAGCTTTTTTTGGCAAACAGAACAAATTTAGCCAGCGTCGAAAGTTGTTACTATAAATAAAGCGCATGACGTCATAGGTGCTTGTTCTTTATACTTCATAGTACTTGACTGCATTGCTCTCTGGTTTTCTGCGTCCAATTGTGAGCCGTGAGGAATCGTTTAGATATATCATTTATAGATACTTCTAACATCAAACAAAATGGTAAGAAATTTGATTTATGATGATTTTAAGTAATGGTATCCAGAACAAGTGGAGCTYCATGAAGTGGTGCGCTGATTCATGCATTTATAGATAGATTTACACTGACATCCCATTTTCTGTTCAATCTCGAGTAGTTTAATATCCTTTTGGTTCTAAGCTTTCCCGCTCAAGAAATTTACAATTTTGATCAAAAGCTAACGTTTTCATAAAAGGTTTTAACTCCATTCATGATTTATTTAAGACTTCATTATATTTTTTTGATATAAAATAGATAAACACAGTTTATGTTTCGAACACACGATTCATTCTAGACCTTTTCTTTTATATCTGTCTGTCTATCTTTATATATATTGCTCCATTGAAGACTGTTTTACATTGAATTATAAAAAATCACTTTTATTTAAGTGTCTAGTCGTTATAGCGCTTTCGCACTAATTGGGGACACTTTTCACTCACACGCACTACCCACTACATTTAATATTCTATGCACACAACTCTCAACTCACATGCTGATTTTTATGGAGGGAGGAAACCGGAGAACCCGGAGAAAACCCTCGTAGCATAGGAGAGAACAACACATCAAACAAACTCAATTCACATGTGGCGACTGCAGGGCTCGAACCACTGAGCGACCCGACCCGTTGGACTCACAGCGGTGAAAGACGACGCGTTAGCCGCGAACGCAACCCATGCTACCCAGAGGCTATACAGGGAAAATCAAGAGATCTCAACTTTTTACTTACATAATTTATCTATTAATTCCTCGACTTTTTTGCGAATATCAAATTGTAAAATTCAAATTATATCAAAATCTCTCTTTCTTTGCTTTCTATACTCCAGCTTGTTGGTTACTCATTATTTTTCAACGCCATTTACTTCAAGCCTGATTTGGAAGATAAATACTTGTAATGTGCATTCGAATTGATATTATAATATTTTTGTGGTGCAGGTGGACAAACTGACAGAAGAAGAAATCGCTGGTAAGAAAAGGGAAATCCAAGAAACACACTAAGGGAAAATTGCAAAGAATAAATTTGATAGTTAAGTAATAATTCTATTAGCGTAGTGCTTGGAAAAGGAGTCGAAAAATGTTTTGAAACGAAGAGTGTCGTAAAGCTTTCGTAGCTTTAGAGCGAAAACGTTGACAAGAAGATGGTGCATTAGACGTCTTTTGCAGGCATACTTGGCTCAATGATTAAGTTTCTTTCTCGATGTTAACAAAAGCAACTCATTTCTATCAATAATATTTAGATAATATTAAGTGATTATTATTTGAAATTAATTAGAGAGCCATACTTGTCAAGGAGTGAAGGAATTATAAAATTATTGATTGATTGTYGTACGTTCGGTAGAGTACAAAGATGCTTTCTCGTTATTTGACAAGGATGGTGACGGTACAGTGACTATCAGTGAGCTGGGAACTGTTATGAGAAACCTCGGACAGAATCCCACAGAAGAAGAAATCAAAGACATGATAAAAGACGTTGATGAAGATGGTACGACATTCATTCCTTCTTTTTTCCTTCTCGGATTCATCTATTCGTTTGTCCGTCTGTCCGTCGATTCGTTGATCCTTCCTTCCTTCCTTCAATCTTTCCATGATCCATTTATCCATCCATCCTTCCATCTTTCCATCCATTTATCCATCCATCCTTCCATCTTTCCATCCATTCATCCATCCATCCATCCATCCATCCATCCATCCATCCATCCATCCATCCCTCCATCCATCCATCCATCCTTCCATCCTTCCATCCCACCCATATATCCATCCTTCCATCTTCCTTCCGAGCACTGAAACTCCCTTTTGCCAACAGGAAGTGGTTGTATCGATTTCAACGAGTTTCTTGAGCTGATGGCCAATAAGACCAAAGGCACAAGCTACGAAGACGAGCTTAAAGGAGCCTTCAAGATATTCGATGCAGACGGCAATGGATCCATCACTGTAGAAGAGCTAAAACAGGTGCTGGACAACCTTGGAGAAAGACTAACGGAGGAAGAAGTCGGGGAGATGATCAAAGAAGCCGATACTGATGGTGATGGTACTGTCAATTATGAAGGTATGACAAATGGCATTGGGTCGAGATTGTTTCTATGGTAACAGATTAGTACCAAAATGCTTGTTTTACATACTTTTATTGAAAGCTTCAACCTGAATTTCGATTGCACGTTACGCCATCCTAGCCTCTCTAAGGGGAGCGTTGGTGCAATTTAAAAAAGGATTTCCCATTAGCATCCATTGGCACCAAAATGGCCGCCATGTTTTTGCCTTTTTACTCTCTTAATTAAGCCACTATTAATTTTATTTGGTTTTTCGTCCATGAAGGGCCAGCGCTAATGAAAAGGAACGATCCTTTCTTTTCTGGCCGTACAGAATGAGTTATCGCCAAGTTTTACACAAACCCTAAAAATACGTGCTAATTAAAATAAAAAATAAAGAGTTATCTGCTCATTCTTTTACAATTTACCCTGCCCAAGGCAGACAGTCCCGAAGTTAATAAACTATATGCAATGATGTTTTATTCTCAGAATTCATCAAGATGATGCTGGCAATGTCTGGTGGTGGGAAATAAATTACTATTCAAGCTTTGTTTTTTGTGCTTTCGGTTACGTATTCAAGTGCATCGGCTCAAGACAAAATTCATCATCTCCATGTCGACTTTAGCTCAAATCTCAGCAGCACTAATCGAACCATCCGATAAAGATGGCTTGCCAAGAGACGTAACTACCATCTCAAAAAAAAAAAAAAAAAAAAAAAAAAAAAAAAAAAAAAAAAAAAAGCAAATAAACAATCAATGCCTAAATCTTTCTAGACTATGAATATCAATCGCTGATTCCCGTTCGCTAGTACGCAGTTTATAGTTTTTTATATTGGTTTTGTAGAGCTCATTACCGCCATGTTGGTGGTAATGTTTGTAATAAATAGCAACCAACATGGCGCCCATGCTTTTTATTCTCTTGAAATAAAAGAAAATTAGGAAAAAAGCAGTTGTGGAAATTGATAAAAAGGTTCCTAATATTTGATATCACGATTTTCCAACAAAAATAAGTAGTAAAGGCAATGGAAAAGATTTCGCCCCTTTTGACCTCTTAGCTTTTCACCCTATGTTCACACCAATGAGGATCTTTTTGCCAACGCATAATCTTCAAAGAGATTTTAGCTTAAGATATAAAAATATTTTAGGAGCAAATATAATGGTCATTGAAAAAAGAAAAAGAAAAAAAATCTGAGGCTGATATAGAGGGACGTGACAATATTGATTTATTTGTATCTAATAAAGAAATAGTACAAAATAAAAGAATTCTAACAATGTGTCACAATGTTCTGTTTATTAGAAAGTAAAATATTTAGCTAATTGCAGCTAATGGGAAGAAACGGTTGTAAAGAACTCTACCAGGAGCTGCTTCGTATTAAGATGAATTTTTTACAGAAGAAGTTTCACAAAGTCTGAAATAAAAAGAGAAATAAGATAAGAATGAGAGAATCCTTTTTTTTTTGAACGCGCCATAGAATGGGACGCTATGGATGCTGCATTTTTGTCACGATCGGTTTTTAATGCGCGCACCATAGGATAAGCTTTTTTTTTTTGCGCAGACAAAAAGCAAAGAGGCGGGAAAATGAATGAGTTTGCCCGAGAAAGTGGTGAAAGATGAAGAAAGAGGCAACGAAGACGAAAGAGCCTGGGAAGCAGGGAAAACATACAAAGCGGAAACAGTGCAAAGACTGGGGAGAAGAAATGGCTGCCGGAAGGGTTAACATGAAAATGAATAAAAATTTAACGGCGGTTCCATAGAGTGGCTTTTCTTTCACTGAATCCCAATTGGAATTTAGAAGTTAATTTTTGCGGAAGGAGGAACTGAACCAGAAAAAAACCCTCGAAGCACAGGAGAGAACCAACAAACAAATCTACTCTCACACAATACCGCTACGGCACCCGTGCTTTCCAAGGTAAGGAAAAACCATGACTTAAGGGAGTGTTTTATCGGGTTATATGGTTTTAGACCTGATAAAACACGATTTTCGAGTCTATTAAACAACTTCAAAATTTCATGAGTAATTTATGATCATTCAGGGTCCTTATCCGTGCTATACTCTTGTACTCTTTTGGTCCTTTATAAGGATTTCAAAATCTTCATACAAAGATACCCATGTTGAAGAATGTAGGTATAAAGCAGGGGCGGGATGCAGGGGGTGAACACCCCTCCCTCGTTCGACTTTGCGTCCCTACTTCGAAGATGACCAATACTGTTTTTCCCTTTGATTGTAAGGGGTGGACCCCTCCCTGGGTTAACTTTGTGCGCAGCACCCCTCCCTGAACAAAATCCTGAATCCGCGCCTGTAAAGATTTGAAGGTACTGATAGGTCTAAATGCTCATTAATTATTCATTGTTTTTGAAATAAATAAAAATAAATTATTGGAGACGAAAGGGCTAGAGAAGGGAAAGACCTAGAAAATAGGAAAAAGAGAAGAAGAAAAGAAGATTCGCGCTGAGTATACGTACCGTTGAACTTGACTTTTCCTCTGTTTCTAGGATCAGCCAAACTCATCATAGCGTCGACGTCCTGTTTCTTGAGACGTTCAGGGAGTCTCATCAACATTGATCGTAGTTCTTTTGTCGTGATTTCTCCTCGTCCTTCCGAATCCCATGCATTGAAGGCTTCCATGATTTCACTTTCGCTACCTGCTTTCAACTGGCGACACATCAGTTCCATGAAGTTCTCGAATTTAATGTATCCAAGTCCTTTGAATTGTTTAGAGGGTGAAAAAAATATTTCATCATAATCATTATAGCTTGTTAGGCAATGTATGTTAAGGGCTACCCTATTTATTCATCGTTTATTTCCCCATTGTCCAAATTCCTTTTTTCCTTCCTTTTTTTCCTTCCTTCCTTCCTTCCTACCTTCCTTTAGTTCCTTCCTTCCTTCCTTC